TTTTCTTTTATTTTATGTGACATTTTAATAGATTCATTTCCACCCGTAAATAAAATATAATTTATCATCATAATTTATCCATTTTATAAAATTAAAATAAAATTTTATCAAGTAAAAACGATAGGAATAAATATAGAAGATGTTATTGTAAAATAATAAACAATTAAAGTTGGAATAATACACAAAAAGAATATATTTTGATTGTTTATGACCAAAAATGAAAAGATCTTATTGCCATTATTAAACAAAAGAATATATTCATATTTATTAAGAATACGAAGAAAAGTAATTTTTTAAAAAAATAACAATATCAATAAAATACATTATTATTGATAGGAAATATAAAACAACTACTAACTATCAAAAAAAAAAAATTAAGAATAAAAACAACTATTAATAACATTAAGAATCTACTTCTATATAAAAATTAAATAAAATTTTGTTTATAATAAGAGGATAATTAAAATATAACAAAATAATATTAAACAGATTCTAATACAATAATACTAGAGAATAACAATGAAACTAAGATTATTATAAATTTTTAGAATAGTCAAAATTACTTCATCCAGGTCATTCATTCAATACTGTTTGAAGAAAATGTAGTGCTATTCATAAAGAAACTGTTGATTACTTTGTTATTAAAAATGTCTCATCAAATTTATTTATTTTTTGACGTTAATTTAATTTTTAATTATCACAAAATTATCTTTTTTAAATGCTTAACTAAATTTAAGACATTCAAACATAAAAAGTACATGTTTCAATCTTGACAAATTTTTAATTTAAAAGAATAGATGAATTACATTTCTATCTTTATTATTTTAAATATTAATCAATTTATAAAAACTCAATTTTTAAAAAACAATCGTTCAAATCAAATAACTTTCTTTGTTAAACCGTATAATTCAATAAAATTACAATTATCAAAACAATTCATGTGAGTCAAACCAATAATATAATAAAACTATTTTTAAATAACATAAATTATATTAATAAGATATAAACTGAATCTCATTTTTTACAAATAAGTCAAAACAAAATAATAATGTTATTCATTATTTTATTTATTCTTGTTAAAGATTGCCAAAGTAAACTACTTTTTGATTGCATCCCAATTGGTAATAAATTCAGTGATGGATTTAATTCTCAGACAAACACATCATCTCTACAATGTTCAACAACTCATTCAAATAAAACATATCTATTTACAAAAGATTTCAGTGATGATTCAGAAAAAGATTGGTCGGTTGGTCACACAATGATTGATGGTCAAATTCTATTTTCTTCTAATAACCATCATTTATTTATTACATCGAATTTAACTTTAACTAACCAAAGTCAGTTATATCTTCAACAACCCTTTCAAGTAAGTTATTTATTGAAAATGACGTCACAGTCTCAAATACATGTATTTCATTCATTACAAATACAAAAAAACATTGCTATAACCGGTCAATTAAAGACAAATTATCCATTAATTGTTTCATGGAGTGCTATCGGAATAGAACTCTTTAATTCTCTTCAAATTAATAACAGCACTGAATGCTTTGACCTTCTTTCTATGCAATCGTCTTATATCCTCAATACTGCTAATTCGATTAATACAATAAAAACAAATGATTTTCCTTATCCTCTTGCAACTGGTCATATTCATCTTCTTTCTGGACAACGTCTTATTCGTTATTGCCCTTCTTCTGTCCCGTTTACTAATGAAGTTAAATGTATTTTAACAACTCCATTTTATCAAAAGTCTTATTCAGGTAGTGGAAATTATGCCTTTGCTTACCCTCATTGCCCGTGCAATGATGAACATACTTCATGTATTCTTGAATTTTTATCTTCTGAAGTGTATCTTCAATCAAATGACCTATCACATACACTACTTCACATTAATCATAATACTACTCTCCACCAACTTGACACTTCAAAATCAATTCACCTTGAAGACTTATGTTTATTACGTCTCATCTCTATGAGACCATTTTCTCAAAATGTGATTAAAACATCGTTTGGGTTTATTACAAATTTTGGAGATAGTGATGGTATGTTTTTCTTTAATCCATTAAATCATACGTTAGTATTAACTGGAACAAATGAAATTTGTTTGACCCAATATAAAAATAAAGTTCCATTTACTTTTATTGGTCATGGAATGATTAATTTAAAAGATATTCAAGACTCATCTGTATTTGCTTTTAGGATAGATAATGAAAAAGAAAGACTTAAAGTCCATATCAATCAAAAAGGAAATAGTCAAGTACTGATATTTGACCAACAAAGTTATCTTGATGAATTACCATATTGTGCTGTGGTGATAATCAAATCTAAGAATAATTTCACTTGTCAATCTTGCAAAGAAGGATTGACTTTAACTCGGTCTAATCTTTGTATTAAAGATATTCATTGTATTCGTCACTCTCCAAATAGCCATTGTCTAAGTTGTAAGGATGGATATCAATTGTCTGTTGATAGAACTTGTCAAAGTAAATATTATAATATTGAAAAAATATCGTTATGCAAAGGTGATACTTGTGATTAATTAAATATTGTTTTAATAATGTCTTTCTCAACTCTTATTAATTTTGTTTTTTTTTTGGGTTTATTTTAAATAATATTAGTCATAAGAAATATTAGCTAAGGTAATAACCAGATAAACTTATGTTAAAAAACAACTTTTTTTATAACTGTATTGTATTAATTACTCTTACTAATAACCTTGACCATTTGAAGAAAAGGTTAAAGTATCAATTTACAATTAATAAATATTAATATAAAATATTATACTAACTAAACAATGCTTAAAAAAAGTTGTTAAATTAGTCACTCACAACATGAATAAAAGAAAGAACACTCAAACTTGACATTCACTTATTTTCAAATTTGTGATGTGTTGAATTAACAATGACACTGGTGGTCTTCTGTATGGTTCGTAACTTGTACATTCTTTTACAATTAGTTCTATTTCTTGAGACTCAAGACTAACTAACAGATGTTGCTTCTTTTTTATTTCAATGTCTCTTCCAAGGATAGTTTGTAAGGGTCTTCTAAGAAGCACAAATGCCATAACCATTCCAAAAGAAAAAACATCAGAAGATGGGGTGGTGAATTTATTTCGTGTTTCAGGAGAACAATATTCCATTCCAGGAATATGAGATTGAAAATGTGATGAATTTAATAAGAATTGACTCATTCTTGAAAAACAAGAGAAAGAAGGGTCAGACAATTTCATCTGATAATCATTAGTAACAAGAACATTCGATGGAGACACATTCCCATGAACAACCCCATTTGAATGTAGATATTTAAGACCATTTAAAATATCAAGTGCAATATCATAATAGAAAATTTGGTCATTCAAATTGGGATGATTAGTTTGAACAAACTCATTCAAAGAAAGTCTATGGCAGTATCCTTCTATCAAAATAGGTGGTGTTGTTTGGTAAGCATAAACCTCTAGAAGATTTTTATGATGAAATTCTTCAAAATATTTCATAGATTTATGAATTACTTGTGGAGGCAATTGTTTCAATAATAATTTGATACTAAAACCATCATATCCATCAGGAAATTCTTTTTGAACTTCTTTAAATTTATTGGCTTGTGCGTGATATATTTTAGAATAATCAGTAATACTAATAGCAGGTTCATTGATATTAAAATATTTCAAACTCTTAATAAATAAAATTTGTTGTTTATTCTTAGTAATTATAATAAAAATTAGCATACTAACAACAAGTAATGAAACAATAAGGACATAAAATTCCATTTTGTTTTTGTTCTCAACATTTCAAATTGACTTAAATATTTCTGTCTATTCCAGTATGAATTTTTCATCCACATTGTAAGAATTAAAAAAAGCTATAAAAGAAATAAAAAAAAGAGAAAGAAAACAAATTAATCAAGTTTGTAGTAAGTTTTTTTATTGGCAGGTAATAAAGCTTGTTGTTCTAATACTTTCTTTACTAAACCATAAGATATTTTAACATCAGGATTTTCTCTTTTAAAGTCTTGTAAAACTCTAGAAACTATGAACTTATTGTAAGACTTAATTTGGTTCATATGAGTGTCAATGAAATCAATTAACATTGAATGTTGTTTTGTATATTTTCTTTCTTTATCTTCAATAACAAGTCTTCCATTAACTAATTTTTGACGATGAACTTTAGGTTCTCTTGTTTTACCACTTTGTTTTTTAATATAAATTTTTTGAGGATGTTCATCACCACCTTTATTTTTAACTAAATAAGTATAACAATAAAATAAAGTACCATCTTTATCTTTAACAATTTCTTTATGAATACATTTATTTTGTTTTGACTCACTAGCATTTATTGTTTGCATTAATGGAGATGGTTGTTCTTCAATAACTGGACAATCTGGTAATAATGTTTGTGTCATTGAAAGATTTTGATCATTCATTAAATGCATTGGATATAATTCATTTACTTCTCCATCATATGGTAGTTCACTCATCATTGGTTGTGGTATTTCTGGTGGAAGATCTGTTTCTTGTTGAACTTGATTATGACCAATCATTTGACCTTCTTCAATTCTTTGTCCACATTCATTTTGTTCTTGTGCAAGTGGTTGATTAAGTTCAATAACATGTGCCACTTGTTGTGTCTCAACATTTAAATCAATTTGTTCTTTCGTTTGTATTACTCCAGCACTATTTAAATCAATTTGTTCTGGTTTCATTTGAACACTATCAGCACTAATCTCTTGAATATGAACTGAACTATCCATTTTAATTTCTTGTGGTTCAGCTCCAGTGGTACTTGTCGTTGGTATTTCACTCATAAAACTAGTCATCTAATTAATTTTAGAACTTCAATAACAATTTTACATTTATCTGTGTTTTAATTCTTTTTTTTTAATATTTTTCTTTTAATTTTACTATTTTCCTTTTTTTCTCTTTTCAGTTTTATTCTTTTTCTTCCATTCTTTTTTAGGTTTTCTTTTTATTATTTTCTTTTAATTTTTTTATTATTACTTTTTTATTTTTCCTTTTTCTAACTTTTTATTTTTTAGTTCTTCCTGACTTTTATTTAAAAATTCCTTCTTTCCTTTAAATAACAACAGGGTTTTTTTAGATAAAAATAAATAAAAAAATATTTTTTTTTCTTAAATTGAAAATTTTTATTTTTGATGTTTTGAAACTTAAAATGAATATTTTTCAGATCTACTAAAAGAAAAAGAAAAAAGAAAAAGAAGAACTTAAAAGAACTAAAATATTAAGAGGAAATGGAAAGATATAATCCAGGAGCATCTATTATTTATTCATGTGTAGCATATAGTGAAACGATATTAGTAGAATATTCTGATGTTTCAATTCCCCAAATAGATTCAGTTATTCATCAAATACTAAAAAAAGTAATAAATGTGAATGATACTATGGTAGTCAGAAAGGAAAATATCATTATTAACGTGTTATCAAAATACAATCTTGTCACTGTTGCAATCACAGGAACAACTTTTCCTACAGAACGTGTTTTTGACTTTCTGGATGATATTTATGTAACTTTTGTAAAAACATTTAATGAAGACCAATGGAAAAAATGTAGTGAAAAAACACTTAACTCTACTTTCTCTTTATTAATTAAACAAAAAATTAAACATTTTAATGACCTAACTACAGACCCTTTAAATTCTATTCAATTGACTATGAATGATACTTTAAATCAAATAAATGATAATATTGATGTATTAGTTAATCGTGGTAATGTTCTTGATGAAATTGAAACTAACTCAAATTATCTTGCTGAGGCTTCTTTAGAATTAGAAAGGTCATCAGTAAAACTTCGTCAAAAATATTACTTGACTACCACCAAAACTATCTTTTTGATCTTCTTCTTAGTTGTAGTTTGTTATTCTTTACCATATCTTAATGGTAAAAATATTAACATTTATAGTTTGTGCTATTTCTTATTGTTTGGGGTCACTGTGGTGTTACTTTTGAACAATGCCACCATTAGCTTTTTAATTAAAAATTTATAGTTTTTTTTAGAAAAAATAGTTTTAAAGAAGAAACCTAAAAACAAACAAATCAAAAATGAAAAGTATAATTGCCACAACACTTGATGGATTTACTTATCTTATTAATACTCAAAACAACCAAATTCAGTGTAAATGGAAACAACCACAAAACATAACCTCAGCTTCAACAGTGTCATATAACCCATCACAAAGTAAATTTATATTATGTGATAATGAAAAATCCTTTACTTATGAATACTCATTTATTAGAGAAAATGTCATTGCTAAATCCCCTATATTAGAGCCACTATCATCTGTTTATTATCTTTCTACATCTTATATTATTGGTGGAACGATTAGTGGGAAAATAGTTGTTTGGAGTAACTCTAATGGATTACTTCTTAAACAATTCCAAGCCCATAATAAGAAAATTACTTCTATTGCCTATTGCAATGATAATGGTATATTGATTACTGCTGGTGAAGATTCAGTTATTCGTGGATGGAATTTTGTTAGTTTGTTTTGTAACTCTGTTCCTGAACCATTGTTTACTTATACCTCACATTCTCTTCCTATCACTGCTTTGTATTGTGGAGAAGGTCTTAACGCAGGTATTATTTCTATTGCATTAGATAATACAATGAAGTGTTGGAAAATTGGAGATTCAACTCCAACAGCTTCATTTACTCTTCCTTCACAACCACTATGTGTTTGTGTGAACAGTTCAAAAACTGTTATTTCTGTTGGGTGTATTGATGGTAAAGTTTATTGTATCCCAGTATTGTATGCTCCACAATTTGATCGTATTAATAAAAAACAAGACATGCAGGGAAAAGTATTTTATCACAGTGATTGTGGCGCTGTGAGATGTGTACAAGAATATAATGACACTTTGATTGTATCTTATCAAAATGGAAATCTTATCACTTTTGATTGTGAAACAACAGAACCATTACTTGTTAATGATGAGATTAAATCTCCAATTATTCGTTTTCAAATCATTTCTCCTCCACTTCACTTCAACTCTCTTGAAGACTTAACAATTAAAAAGTCTAAAGAGTGGAAAGTTGATACATTAATTCTAAAGAAATACCCAGCTCTGGTTGATGAAATTCTTTCAACACCAATTTCTATTTGTCCATCAAAACCTTCAAAATATGATTTACAAAAAACTATTTATTCATCAACTGGTCATTCAATTGATACCTCAACACCAAATAACCAATCTGAAATAGAAAAATTAAAAATGGAACTTCAGCGTTGGAAAACCGTTAATTCTCAGTTAATTCGTTTATTGCAACGAACAAATTAGAAATACCTTTCGGATTGCTTTAAAAATTGATTTGGACTTTTTCTTTCTTATGATTTTTCAAGTCTTTTATAATTTTTTTCTATTTAATATAGAAATAATAATTTTCTTATACTTTTATCTGGAGATGAAAAATAATGAAAAGCAAAAACAAAGAGAATTTCTCAGTAAAATGAACTAAAAAAATATATTACCAGATTATTAACAATGTCTGAT